CTGGATTTGAGCTCGTTAGTACCTACTTAGAAGGGGGAACATTCCCATAAAATTTCAGTCTCTAGCTTTTCTGGTTCGCTAGTTATCAGCTTACCCGTAAAAAACTTTGGCGAGGTCTTGCGGGGGTACCACGCGGGAAAGACCGCCCATTTTGGGGATAGGGGCTCGCACGTGCATGTAGATTAAGTCCCCAAAGTTTCAGCCCCGTAGCTTTTGCCGGTCTCGAGATGAAAAATTTGTAGATTATACCCTCAAAGTTTCAGCCCCGTAGCTTTTGCCGGTCTCGAGATGAAAAATCGGTACAGTCCCAGCGCACACACAGACACACACACACACAAACAAACACACACACAGACAACCTCTCGTCAATATGCGTTTTTCGCACTGCATTGCTGCAAAAAACGCATAAAAACGAGAATGCAAAGCAAAGAGTAACAGTTACCTCGCCAGTCCCCCCTGATACCGGACGTTTGCATTAACCGTGTTTCGTCCAACGCAACGAAGAAATTGTGCGCAACAAATGGACAAATCGGTGGAAGATTCTGCAACTCATCTCATTTAAACAACACAAGTATGCAAAACAAAGACGGTTCCAAAGATGCACATCGCCATCACAAGGTAGTAAAAGGCAAGGCAAACATTTTGACTGCAAAAGAACGAAACATCAACAAAATTCATTGAAGTGTAAAAATGAAAGTCCGAACATAAATGCTTTAAAAATTTCAAGAAATACCTTAAAAGGTGATAAGTACTTTTTAAGGGGCATTAATGATGACACGTAGTTTTCCAAAGGCATCATGAAATTCTGTGTCAGGATAAGCAAACGCTGCTGCAGTGATGTGCTTTCTATATCAGATGCACTGCCAGCTTTCAGTGCCACTTTGAAAAGTGACTTGTCCTTCTGAAGAAACTGCCTGTACTGGCTAAACAGGCCGTGTTTTGTTTCTAGAATGCGTTCATTCCAAACTTTTCTGCAACACAAAAAAATAAATCAGAACCAAATTAAAGAAATGGTTGTCCAGTGGCAAGGTCTAACCATTGTCTCTTAACATGAGGACAGCGCTAGTTGCCGTTAAACCACGGGTGGACAACTGGGGAGCCCGCGGCCGGTTTTAATCCGGTCCGCGGAGGAGATCGGAATGTGATGCCAAACTAGATGAACGAGGTTTTGTATTCCGCCACACCTCTACACACACATGAAAGTAAATAAAACTAAAATACGCAGGAAGCTAACAGACGACAGCCTGGAAAATACTTTGAGGCTCCGTGTCAGTGGTATAAATCCATATATCAACAATCGTGCCAAAAGTTCAAGCCCAGAGCTCACATTAACCTGCTGTTTCCTTATTTGTTGAATGATAAAAAATTATCTGTTTTCATGCGATTTTGCATCTTGTGCAAATGCAAAATGCATAATTTCCAGAGGATGCTTGTGCATGTGCTAAGAAGCAAGTGAACTTTGTCGCCCACTTCAGCTCAGCAACAAAGAAAACCATGATACACCACTACCGTCTCAGCCGACGCCCTCTTTCTCGCATGCAAGAAAAGACCAAAAGACAGGCAAATGAGTTGCACGTGTTAAACTGTAGAGCAACAACCATTCATACTGTTTAACGATCTGACTGCGTCAAGTTTAGGGCAAAAACGCGTGGTTACACGGGCAAGCCTGGTTCGTTGTTACTTGAGTTTTATTAAAAGATGGTACACGAGCCTAAGCAAGGAAATCAGACCCGCGTGCCACCAAAGATTGCCCATTCCATTGTCAAAACACAAAAAATTTGGAGACTGATATGCAGATGAAAAGCTACACTACATATGTTGGGTATGATTTCTTTCGCAGTTGGGCTATTTCAGTATGAAAGTGCTTAAGGAACGGTGCTGCGCAAAACATAAACTATAATTTTCACCATCGCAAACAAAACCGTTTGAATGTGCCTTTCAGCACTTTTTAATGAATTTTTGCTGTGCAGCGCTACAGAGCTGCTATAGTGGGCAAAAACATATACTGTAGAGAAGTCGTTCATGTGTATGTGCGTGTTCGGAATCGAGAGAGCTCTGCCACCCACTTTCAACTTAGCAACCAGAAAAGTTGGGAAGTTTAAGTTATGGATTCATATTCCCAACCCATGTGCCACCCTCTCGTTTTAAAATCTTCGCTCCTAGGCGCCCAGATCTCGCATACGGACCCCAAAAAAAGAATGCAAATTTTTCTCGCGGGAGACGATTTCGCGAACCAAACAAGATAAAAAGCTGAAACTTTACAGAAATGTCCTCCATGCATTTATGAGCTAAAGATTTCAAACTCAGCTGTCGCGCATGCTCATACCGTGCGTACAGTCACGTCAGGATTTGCAGCTCACAGTGTACCAACTCGTAAACTAGCCGGAAAACAACAGCTGAATCTTTCAGAATATTTACCATCCAAATAGAAAATAGTACTCCTAACCGAACATCAATTTGCACTTGTGTCACGACATAGGGCACTTCAAAGATATTTGTAGCGAAGTGGCTATTTTGCTTACTGGACACGCTGCGAAGCTGAAACTTCGCAGAAATATTCTATAGTCAGGTGTGGCCTTAAATCAACTTGGCGATGAAATTCCCTGCACGAAGACAAGACAAATACTGAATTTTATTGCAAATCTAAAAGGGAGGGCATTTTGCAGATTTCATAATCCTCTCTTGACTTTCTTAAAATTTGCATTTTTTCGACGAACAAATATTCACCGGAAAAACGACCGGGCTTCATGTGAAAAACTGATAATCACGCAAGCTGGAGGTCCCTGCGTCCCCACAATGCAATACCTTCATCCCAGCCAATGCCCTTTCTCCCTGCATGCGGAAAGAAGTAAGACACGGCCAATATGAGTCCAAGTGTTAAACTACAGCACAAGAGCCATTCCTGCTGTTAGCGATATGCAAGTTTAGCGCAAAAACGCATGATCGCAATGACAAGCTTGGCGCATTGCAGTCTGGGTTTTTAATTAATAAATAGCAGCGCGCACCAGAATAGCTGGTGTGATCATATGTCCTGTGCAATTCCGTCTACCGAACGATTACTACCTGTTGATAATTTTCGTTGCTTTGCAATTTAGTCTGCGCAAAAATAGTTGAAATGTTGAAAAATAGCTAAAAATTTCATGCACTGGTACGTGAAAGTTGAACTTGAAACTCGGAGGCTGAATATGCCTCCAAAATTTCAATCTTCTAATTTCCTAGCTTTCGAATGATGTTTGAGACAAAACTTTCACATAGTCGTACGTGAAATTTCGCAGCATCTTTCACAACAGTTTTGCAAAACGTCCATTCCCAATACATCCGTTTCCTCGTACCATTATCAGTTTCACATATCAAAATCCTATACGCTGTCGCATTATGAACTATACCAACTTTTTCAGACGCCTCAGTGACAGACCTGTGGCGCTTGCTAACCTGTGATCTTCACTTTGTCATTGCGCGCATTCAATTTACTTCTATGAACCCGCCAATCACACTGCAACGGGTAACCTAGACATAATCCGTAACCGGCAACTAAGAGAAGTTATGAGGGGCACTAAATTTAGATTACCTATTATTAAAACTGCAGACGAAATTATAACAGATATTTCCAGTGCTTTGGACACATTCATCTCTGGTATGGCAAGCCGCACCGGTACCACAGTTCCTCAATATGGAGATTTCAAACATAGGATATTAGCTGCAGTACGTTGGAGAACCGCCAATCGTTGCTTCCCTTCTAATTTATTCAACACCTGCTTTGACAGAGCATTGCGTGAGACACACAAACGATTTGTCACAACCTCTGTTGACAAAGTGCCAAACAACTACATAATTATATGCAAAAACTACTATGCTTTGCTGCACTGTAATGAGCTTGGTTTCACATACCCAATCGCATCCAAGGCAATAGTGTGTATGGGCTGGCACCGTTTTCCGTTGAACAGCTTGGTCACCGACCACCATAAAATTCAAAGCAAATTTCAACTTCACACCACCAATGATGATACATTCATCCCCTTCATCTATGCTGTTCTGAAGCTTCATAAGAACCCCTGTGGACATAGATTCATAGCTGCGGCAAATAAATCATCCCTCCGAAGCCTTCCTACTACTATGCACCGCCTGTTAGTTCACTTTAAGACTCATTTCCGCAACGACTGTACTCAAACAATTACATGCAATGGATGGCCCGTTTACTTTAGTATCATCAATTCATTAACAGTGGTGCAAAAGCTCACTACACTAGGCAGGACGATCGAACATTTATACACCGCAGACTTCAGCAACCTTTTCACCAGTCCACCGCATTCTCAAATTATTACTAATAATATTATTATTAATTATTATCATTCTCGGATTATTATTAATTGCTATTATTTTCATTCCCAGATTATTATCATTACCATTATTATTATTCTCAAATTGTTATTACTAATATTATAATTAATAATAATTTATTATTATTCCCAAATAATTATTATTAGCAACCTGTTCTATCTTACTGACCTCTGCTTCAATAATTCGGATAAAGAATATGTTAGCCTACGTAAAACCCAAACCTGGCATGCCAACGAATTCACAAGTGACGTTATATCCTACACTAAGGATGAAGTCAAGGCCATGCTTCGTATCATTCCTGAGGAGACATACGTACGATTTAGTGGTTACATATTCAAGCAAATACAAGGTGTACCAATGGGTGGTAATGCTAGGCCGGATACTGCTGATCTCAAACTGTCAGTAATGGAGTATCGCTTCCTTCGTAAGAATTCGGGGTTCCATTTTCATCTTTTCCGACATATCGATGATGTTCTAATTGTCATATGCGTCAACTTTGCTGAAATTGGCAGAAAAAAAAATCTACGGACCCAGCCTACAACTCAAAACCACTTACTCCGGACAACGTACCTGTTTCTAAGACCTCGAAATTTTATGCCAAGATGGCAGATGCATTTTTAGCGTATACAATAAGACCCTGGACTACTCATCCACAGTTAATTATGGTGGGCATCCTGATAGCGATAATGGATCATACGGTACAAGAAGGCGTTATTATATCACAACTACTTCGACATGCGCGCATTTCCATCCTTCCAGAGGGGTTTCTTGACTGGGCTAGACGCCTTATAAATATCTATAGACAAAAAAAGTTTGA